TATATATATACTGTCTTACTCATAATTATTTTTGTTTGATGTTTTCCTATACGGCCATACTTTTTTATGATAGCAATTTCGTTTTTATTTTTTATTTCGTTACAAACATGCTGAAGTTGTTCTAGTGAAACTCTTATCTATTACATCAATAATGTTTTATGCAATTTTAGTATAAAATATTTAAAACATGTCATATTTAAAGATATATTTATTACGAATATTTGTCTGGAAACTATATAATAAATATTTGACTTACAGTATTGACGTTAACCCAAAACGAATGATATTTAATTGCATAACAAATGAAGAAAAATGCGGAAGACAGAACATTGATAATGAGATCTGCAGTGCATTTTGAAGTTAAAAACGTTGTAAACTGCAAATAAGTAATTTTGTTGAAAATTTTATTATATATTAAAAGAATAATTCTTTATTGTGATCAATAAGTTTCGAATTCTAGTTGTTAATTATTGTTTCGTATAATAGAACTCATTACGACCTGAAATACAATAAAAGTTGTTAAAATAGTAAAAAGTACGATAAATTGAATTTGAGCAAGTTTCGATCTCTGGTGAGGCCATAAACCAATCGCGAGCAAAAGAAATTTATTGAGCCTGAAGTGTTGCGTCTCAAGGCAAATCATCTTTGTAAACACGAAAAGTACTAAAGTACACTTAACCGTGAAAAAGAAGAAATTGTCTTTTTTTTTTTCAATTTTATCAAACTAATAGCTGGTTAAAAATATTCCAATTTTTCTCTTGTAATAAATTGTAGCTTCAATTGCTTAATATGCTAGCGTACAAAGCGAAATACAATGTCGCGAGATTAAATTATAGTTACAGTTCAACACTGTTTTATAAGAAAAACATATGATTTAGCGATCGATATAATGATACATGAAAAAAATTTTACAGGTGTTTATTTTCATGGAAAAATATTCGCGTAGAGAAACTCGATAGAGGACCGCGCAAGCGCACTCATCATTTTCCATTGTAATATTTATTTCATTCTAGTGCGGACACTCACAAGATACGTTTGATCTTTTAAAGTAGCGTTGATCATTAAATTTTATCTCAAGTATCAAAAAGTATGTTTATTTAAAAAGTATGGAAATGTATATCGTATTAATATTTTATGTAATATTTTATATTGAAACTATTTATATTTTATATATATTTTTGTATAACTGTTGAGATTTGTCCTGCTCTCTACATGCAGTAAGCAATACACGTTATGTCGCCACTAACGCCACGTATTGGCGTTTCGCGCTGGTTTGTCAGTATCGTTCCAGTCTGGCTACGGCACTTGTAACGACAACTTCTGGTTGTTAGCGTGTCTTTTTGGTTCTCTGCACGCGCTCTGTTCTTTTACCTCCACCTGAGTTTCGTCAATAATAACATGTATCTACAGTGATGTTATAAATAAAATTTTTTGATAATGCTCAATCGGAAAAAATTAATAAAATTTACATTTCTAATAGGTCGTGTAACACATTAAAAGTGAGTTTATCTTCGTATCAAGTCAGAAAATGGAAAATATATGTGTATGTATATATGTATATATATATATATATATGTATATATATATATATATATATATAAAACTAT